AACAGAGACGTTCGAAAACCGAGGTTTGACTGTATTTGTTCTGCCCACAGTAAAAGTTTTAAAGGCGTTTCGTAAAGGTTAAAAGAAGAAAAAAAAGGATTTTGTTATGTTTCTGTTTGGTTTTGCTCCGTCGTGTGCCCTTTTTGTCGCCACCTGTTCCCATCATCTGGGTCCCTTGTGTTTAACCAATCGGCTCCCTCGACCCTTTGTGTCTTGTCCAGGTGTTTCTCATTGTCACGTCATTTTGCTTGCATTTGGTTCCCTGAGTTCTGTCAGTCTTGGTTGGGTCATTGTGAGTGTGTGCGCGATATCTGAGCATCTGTGTGCTCCGCTCCTGTCACGTTTTGTTCATAAACAAACAAATAAATAAATAGACTGAAGATGCATTGCTGTGCTTAAAATTTTTGGGGGGATGATTCTCAAGTTCTTCAACTGACAACCTGACAACGGTCTTTTTACAACAAATATCATCCGTCGGAGTATACGAATGATGCTCTTGCACCATGACTCCCAAATCAGTCCCTTTCAACATTGTATTGCCTTTTGCCAGTTTTATGAGAATACTCTTCATGCTAATGACAAACATCAGCCTAACATTTCAGCACCAAGCCAATGTTAGTAAGCGTAGCAACCTCACAGAGATGAATCAATCAATCAGTGCAATCGCAGCAAGGAAGCTAATGATGTGTGGCATTGCATACGTACAGAATAATTAGCTGTTGCAATGCTGGGACTCTTTGTAGCAAGGCGCAATGATGAAATGTTCAGATATCATTTCTTGTCATTTGGTTTTTGAGGAAATAATACAAAACATAAATATCCTGCAATTACATTTTTTTGTAATTAAGGTTGCATTGTCTTCTGTTTCTCATTTAATTTGATGCCTTCCTCTCGGCTGTGGAAAAAAGCCACACATTCTTTTTTTTGTTGAAGCATTCTCCCAGGCATCTCCACATAGATTCATGACCTGAATACAGTTGCTGCATCGCTGAGACAATTCACTTGTGTGAATGACATTGACAAGAATAGTCATGGACATGCAAACAGATGAGCAATTCATTGTGTTCAGGGTAAGAAGTCGGGAGGAGGGTGGGGGTCGGTTATATTGGAGTTCAATGGTTTCACTCAATAAAACTGAGTTACAGTGAAAATGTCAACCGGACTAGCGGGCTGAATCAACCCGTGGCTTTAAGCAGAAGCCTTTGTAGCAAGGCGCACTGATGAAATGTTCAGATTTCATTTCTTGTCATTTGGTTTTTCAGGAAATAATACAAAACATAAATATCCTGCAATTACATTTTTTTGTAATTAAGGTTGCATTGTCTTCTGTTTCTCATTTAATTTGATGCCTTCCTCTGGGCTGTGGACAAAAAGCCACAATTTTTTTTTTTTTTGATTGAATCATTCTCCCAGGCATCTCCACATAGATTCATGACCTGAATACAGGAGCTGCATCGCTGAGACAATTCACTTGTGTGAATGACATTGACAAGAATAGTCATGGACATGCAAACAGATGAGCAATTCATTGTGTTCAGGGTAAGAAGTCGGGAGGAGGGTGGGGGTCGGTTATATTGGAGTTCAATGGTTTCACTCAATAAAACTGAGTTACAGTAAAAATGTCAACCGGACTAGCGGGCTGAATCAACCCGTGGCTTCAAGCAGAAGGTCAGAATGAATCCAGATCAATAGAAGGAGCCAGAAACTGCGCTGGACAGGAGACACGGCTGCCATCTCAAATGGAGCGGTACGCAGAAACTGTCAGCATCGCGTAGGACTAAAAATACTGTCACTATTTTGAAAAGATTACAGTCTGTAAGTAGAATGTGTCTGTGTGTGTGTGTGTGTGTGTGTGTG